AGCGCTCGGTTCCACTTGGCTCCCGCGTGTTGTACCTTTTATTTTTATGTCGCAATAAAATTCAAGTAATTTAATTGATTTGCAAGAAAGTTTATGAGTTGGAAATTATGTTGACTTTCAAGTAATTTGTATCGATTAAAGCAATTTATTATAATAGTATTTTTGTGCATAAAATTATGTAACGACTTTATTTGTGATGAAATTACAGTGTAGCGTAAATAAATAAATTTGACTAATTAAATTACATTTATTTTTGATTTATATCCTAGTCTTAATTTTTGATAACAAATATTACATGAATGAAATCATAAAACGTTGACTGACTTAACCTTGGATTAAGTCCAAAGTGGCGTGCACCAGTCAATTCGCTCCGATGGCGGTAGGCTACGATCAGTATCGGTTTTCAGTGATTTTTATCTAGTTTCTAAGATTGTGGCTGTACGACGCCGCAGCCGTTGATCCGCCGCGACCGTACGCGCGAATTAGATCCACTTTCACGTATTTACACTTGGAACGAATTATATGGAACAATCGCTTCCTCTTATCGATCTTTTAATTATATTTGTCGCTTGTTATTGATATCATGTAATTTAATTATTGGATAATATTTTTTAATCTGCGTAAATTTTTCTTTTAACGATAACATGACTAAGGAATATTAAGTAGAAAGAACAACAGCGAGAGTGACTTAAATACAATCACAATTAATTTAACTACATAATATATTTATATCAAATTTTTCTGTCAAAAATAATATTTAGTCTGTGTGATGTAACTTTTATATAATATCAAGATAGTGACAAATCATTGTTTTTTTCTCCTTCAAAAGTGTGATACTCTATAGTTTGTTTGTGTACAGTTGTCATCTCTCTGGTACTTACATGGGTTCAGCGCACAAGGTTTTTTTGTAAACCTTATTGATTTAGCTTATTTTTTAACAGCCGCCTGCCTGTTGCAAATTTTACTTAGGAGAGGAATTAACATTTTTATTTCATAATATAAAGTAATAAAAACGCGATCAGAAATAGATAATTACAGTAAATACTTTAATGAATTGTAGCACAGCTAATAGAAAATTGAATAAGTATTATAAATCTGAACAATATCGGATTTGATCGTTTCTCGCAGCGAAACTGCGCGCGTAAGTGCGTGAGAAATAAATGCCCATTTATGTCGTTACGTTTATTCGCAACAAGATAAAAGTTAAAGTTCAATAAGTGATTATATTGATATACATCGACATGTGTGTGACAAAGTTTACTCTTGAATTATGTTCTTTACCGCTTGTTTTGACCATTTGTAAAAAAACATATTGTTATCGCAGCTTTTTTTAATAGAGAGTAAAAGAGAGATTGTTTTTGAATGATGGCAATATGTTTTGGTAATATGATATACATATGTTGATACGTTAGGCCATTAACATGAACAGGGAAGCTTTGTAAATGAAATCGAAATGACTCAACTGCACAGATACGTACTCGTTTCGTATTCCACGTTCGTAACGTCATTTAATTCTATTCCGTAATGCAATCATGATAATTCCCTTCCAACTGTCTACGTAAGTAATTCTAGATGACAGTTTCTCGGCTTTCACTATCTAGGGTCGCGGGTTCGACGCCTGCCCGGTCGACGATGACCGCTCAATCCATGCGGTAAATAAAACCTCTTTCCGTTTGATGCCTGCGCTCGTTTGTCATTTGTATAATAATTATTTGAATCATCTGTCATTTTGTTTTCATTTTAATGATAATTGCGATTTCTATATTCATTTATAAACTCAATGAGTCATTAATCGTCCCCATGGTTAAGGAAGTTCAGCTACAAGAAAGATACAGCTAAATATTAGACTAACTGCCGAATGTCGGTAACTGTTCACCCTTAGTGTAAACTTAGTATGAGAAATCTACAGTAAGCGTCACCCTTAATGACTAATTATCGATTCTGAGTACGATAATTAATGTGGTAGGTTGTCCTAGCATTTACTAATAATAGTTAGAATAACATTTATTGAAAATACATCGTAATACGAAAACTAGAAGTATAAGATTAGTTACGATTCCATGCATCAACCGTACTGTACTGTCCGGCTTTGTTCAGTCTCTGTCGGAATATTGCGTAAACTTAGGAAAGTTCGCCGACACCATAATGCCCATAGGAATGCTATTCATTGAACTTATTAATATCGTGACCAATGTCACAAGCGGAAGCGTTTTTTGAATTGAACTTTTTTTAAGATATTGATTAACTATATAATATTATATTTATGAAACGGTAGCAAATTATATAATTTGAGACATATTTTTTGTAAGAAGTTCTTAATCCTTATTATCAATCAATTTTGATGATTTATTTATCATCTATTTCAAATTTTAATTTGCATAGAGGAATAAAAAGAGAAAACAAGAGGGAAATTATCAATATTATGATTCTTATTAGAATTTCAGACATTAATATCTGAATTTATATCGTAGTCTAATTA